AGCCATCTCCTCCATGGTTCCAACACCTGCTCACACCTGTACTCTCCGTTGGCTCTGGGAACAGTCCCAGAAAAAACCTGTCTGCCATGCCAGGCCTCAAATGTCCCGGAAGCGCCCTCGTCCAAGGGAAAGAGTAGTAAAGTCTAGCCCAGGGGAAACCATGTATTTAAAGGTGAACTCACCTGGAGAATAAGTCTTGGTTCCAGACTACTGGGCACAGTTTTGACATGGCGTGCGAGTGCGCCCCATTATCTAGTGATCTGCTCAGAGAGAAGAGGAACTAAATCAAATCTGCATTTCTGCAGGAGTCGTGTTTTGAATGAGCCTTTTAGAAGTAAGTCCTTAGCAAGTGCTCCGCCCAAGCATTAGTATTCTGAATTTTCCTCTCTGCCTTGGTCTGTCCTGTGTCTGTACTCCCAGAGGGCATGCTCACTTGCTGGGCATCCTGCAATCCCAGATCAAGAATGCAGAGGTACACAGGGCAAGGGCATCTGTGCTTTCCGAATCCCCTACTGGGGCCAGGCTTTGTCCCAGGCTGTGTACTGGTAGATATAATTTCATTTAATCTCACAAGTCAGTGTTAACAGTCATCTGCATTTGATAGGAGAAAGGAAAGTGTCACCTGGAGGGGAAGGAGCTGAGATTTCAACTCTTTGACCTCTTTCCACTGCTGTACCTCCAAGGAGAGCACAGGGGCACCTGAGGGGGTGGGGATGTAAGTGAAGCCATCGGGGGTGAGGTGAGGTTTGAGCTGGACTTTGAAGGAGGCTGAAAGTCTTCCAACTTTGGGGATGAGCAGCAGATACAGTAGCAAATGGCTTGTGCTAAGGCAGAGAAGCAGGGGTGGGAAAGTACCCAGAACCTCAAGGAAAACGTCATCACTGAACATACTTGATTTTATGCCCCTAGCTTTGCTTATAAGCTAGGATGGGAGAATGGATTATTTTAGAAACACTTCTGATTTCTCTGGAAAAGTTTGCTTGAAGGTGTCCATACTTAATGCTTGCTATGTAAGGGGCCATGCAATGTTTTATTGCAAACATTTAGTCCAGAGAAATATTTCTCCCTCTAGAAAAACCTGTAGATTTTTAATTTTTTCAGAAGATGAGACCTGCATAGCCTCCTCCAGTTTTCATTTTGCTTGAATTCCAAGATGCTGCCGAGATGTTGATAATAAAATTACAAGCCTTTTTTGGGGGGCAGCTGCCTAGTATAGGAATTGGTTGGGATCTAAACCAGGCTCTGATGTCAAGCTATCTAGTTTGAAACCCCAGGTGTGCCATTTCCTGGCAATTTTGGGCAAGTTATTTATCTTCCTTGTGCCTCAGTTTTCTCATCATAAAATGATATAATAATAACACTTATACAGTTTATGGGAGGATTAAATTAGCAAATGCACGTAACAGTTTAAAATGTAAAATCGTAACCCTGTTCAGCTTTGCCTATCCTTCTTTCCTTTTTTTATTGTTTTCTTTAAGCACATACCACTAAATTTTATTTATTTTGCTTATTATTTGTCTCCTCCCATTAGATGGTAACTTATATGAGGGCAGGGAGTTTTGTCTTTTTTTATTTTTATTTTTTTACTGCTTCATCCTCAGAGCCTAGGATGATGCCTGGCATACCATAATGTGTGTGATAAGTATTAAATGAATGAATGATTCTAAAGCGCTTAGCAACGCCTGCCACTCAGTAAGTGCTTAGTAAATGTTACTTTATATCTGTCTTTAAATAACACCCTATATTCAGTCCATCAGCAAATCATATCCGTGCTACATTAAAAATCTTTTCTAAATTTAACTGCTCCTCCCTGGCTCTCCTGCCAGCATCCCGAAGTCAAAGCTTCCCTCACCTCTCACCTGGACAGCTGCAGGAGGGACCTAACTAGATTCCTTGACTAGACTCTTGACACCCTATAGTCAGCACCCTCTAACATCACTCTGTAGCTTCAATGATCTTCTTCAGATGTAAGTCAGGTCATGACATTCTCCTGCTCAAAAATCCTCCAGTATTTTCTATCATACTCAGAGTAAAACCCAAGGCTTATTACACCTGAAAGTCTCTTGTACTTCGTGTTGTCTTTGATCCTCATCTCCTGCCCCTTTGCTCTCACTCCTTTTGGCCATTGCTCAGGCTCTCTTAGGGTCTTTGTGTTTGCTATCTTGCTGGGATGTTTTTCTTCACATGGCTCACTCTGGCCCTTATGCAGGAGTCAGCTTGTTACCTTCCGGGCCGGGTGCGGTGGCTCAAGCTTGTAATCCCAGCACTTTGGGAGGCTGAGGCGGGTGGATCGCAAGGTCAGGAGATCGAGACCATCCTGGCTAACACGATGAAACCCCGTCTCTACTAAAAGTACAAAAAATTAGCTGGGCATGGTGGCAGGCACCCGTGGTCCCAGCTACTCGGGAGGCTGAGGCAGGAGAATGGTGTGAACCTGGGAGGCGGAGCTTGCGGTTGAGCTATGATGCCACTGCCCTCCAGCCTGGACGACAGAGTGAGACTCTGTCTCAAAAAAAAAAAAAAAAAAAAAAAAAGTCACCTTCCCAGAGAAGTCTTCTCTGACCACTAGTCTGCAGGAGTCCTACTTACTCCCAGTGCTGACTCTCAGACCCCTGTCCTGAACATTCAGCACAGATTTTTTTTAGAAACTATCTGTCTCATCTATAAGAATATAAGCTCCATAAGGGCAGGAACTTTGGTTAGAAGAGTGTAGCCTGGTGTAGTGGATGTTGCTCCTCCCCCTGAAGTGCTGAAGGCCACAGTGAGGACCCTCACACTGTTTTTTTCTGTGCCTGGCTAGGTCCTGCAGATCTGCCCCAAGGACATGAGAGCTGACATCTGCGTGCACCTGAACCGCAAGGTTTTCAAGGAGCACCCAGCCTTCCGGCTGGCCAGTGATGGCTGCCTCCGGGCACTGGCCATGGAGTTCCAGACGGTGCATTGTGCCCCAGGGGATCTCATCTACCATGCAGGAGAGAGCGTTGACAGCCTCTGCTTTGTGGTTTCTGGCTCCCTGGAGGTGATCCAAGATGATGAGGTGGTGGCCATCCTAGGTAGGTGTTGGCTTTGCTGGATGAGCAAAGGTACCTGGGGTTGGCTTAGCTACTGGGCAGCTCAATGCCACTGCTGCCTTCAGGTAGAGATTGCTTCATAAGGCAGGGCCAATTGCTAATATTCACTTATCTATCCAACAAACAAACAGCGAGAGCCTGTTTGGCACAAAGCCAGTCGCTGTTTGATGTCTGGAGTATTTCAATAAGAAAAATGGGTTTTGTCCTCAAGGGGCTCCCAGTCTAGTGTAGGAGACGAACAAATAAGCAGACATTCACAGTACAATGGGAGGCACATCTAACCCAGTATTCAAGTGGGAAGTCTTCCTGTACCTATGCTAAAACTTAAAAATTGAGAATGAGTTAGCATGGAGAAGAGAAGGGATGACGTATCCTAAATGTGTCACATCCTTTCAGAGGGAGAAATTCATGACTCACTTGGGGAACTACAAATTATTTAGTGTGGCTGGAGCACAAGAGGGGACATGGTAAGATGTCAGACTAGGGAGGGAGTGAAGCACTAGTCAGATCGTGGCAGACTCTGGAAGCCACATTAGGTGACTGGGATTATTTGGGGGAGCCAATGAAGAGCTGAAAGCAGGGGAGAGGCATGATGAGATTTGTACTTTAGAAAGATGACAGTAGTTGCAGCTTGGGGAGTGGATTGAATGGGGAAGGCTGGGGTAAGGAGACCAGGTGGGAGGCATGTTATCTAGAGGCAAGTTGATGGTGGCCTGAACTAATACTGTGGCAAGCAGATGGAGAGAAACAGATGGAGTTGAGATATTCAAGAAGTAGAAGCAAGAACCCAATGACAGATTTGCTGTGGCGGGGAAGGAGGAGTCAGCGAGGACTATAGGTTTTCTCACATGGATAACAGGGAAGCTGGTACACCATCCACAGCAATAGAGAATGTGGGAGGAGGAGCAGGGACGCGGGGGAACGTGTTGGTAATCAGGACATTGAGCATCAGTAGCTTTTAGGAAATGTGTCTGGTTTTCTGAGCTAGCCAGAGAACAGCTCTTTATTGGTGGCATATCTCTAAGGGGGCAAGCCATCATCATAATAATAGCTATCATTTATGGTCATCTATTCTGTGCCATTTGACACACAGCATTTGACACACAGATACTCATTTCACCCTTACAGTAACCCTATGAAATGGTTTTATTATCCCCATTTTGTAGATGAGACAATTAATGTTCAAAGAGGTTAAGGAAATTTCCTCATGGCTGATGAAGTCCATGAAACCAGCATTTCAGAGTCCCTCTGACTCCAGAACCTCTGCTTCAATCCAAAATGGATTACAAAATGTAATACTGCAATTCTGATGATAATTTTTTTTTTTTTTTTTTTTTTGAGTCGGAGTCTTGGCTCTGTTGCCCAGGCTGGAGTGCGGTGGTGCAATCTCGGCTCACTGCAAGCTCTGCCTTGTGGGTTCATGCCATTCTCCTGCCTCAGCCTCCCAAGTAGCTGGGACTACAGGCCCCCGCCACCATGCCCAGCTAATTTTTTTTGTTTTGTTTTTGTTTTGTTTTTGTTTTGTTTTGTTTTGTTTTGATTTTAGTAGAGATGGAGTTTCACCGTGTTAGCCAGGATGGTCTCCATCTCCTAACCTTGTGATCTGCCCGCCTTGGGCTCCCAAAGTGCTGAAATTACAGGCATGAGCCACCACGCCCAGCCTCTGATGATAATTAATGTAGTATGCTGGCCCATTAAGTTGCCAGGTACTGGTAGAGATTGTAAACGTGTTTTATCTTTTACAAATGATTTATTAGAAAACTGAGGCCGGAGGAGATTAAGTTATGCTGAAGTTAGAATTGAGATTCAAACTACAGAGAGACATTAGATAGTGTTATTTTAAAAAAGAAAGAAAGAAAGAAAAAGAAAAGCCCCAACTTTGTTCCCGCTTGACTTTGGAGCACACAATATGTAGCTTCCTTCTTGTTTTTTTGGCCCTAAGCCAAGTGGCTCTCTTGATTACATTTGGCTTAGGTTAACCTAAGGATGATTTATGTTCCTTCAGCATACATTGGCAGATGGTCAGAGGGAGCGTGGGATAGAAATTGGGTGGGGTGGTCGGGTGCAGTGGCTCATGCCTGTCATCCCAGCACTTTGGGAGTCTGAGACGGATGGATCTCTTGGGTCCAGGAATTTAAGACCAGCCTGGGCAACATGGCAAAACCCTGTGTCCACAAAAAATACAAAAATTAGATGGGCATGGTGGTATACACTTGTGGTCCCAACTACTCAGGAGGCTTAGGTGGGAGGATCAGAAGCAAAGGTTACAGTGAGACATGATCACATTGCTGCACTCTGGCCTGAGGCCTGAGTGACAGAAGGAGACCTTGTCTCAACAAACAAACAAACAACAACAACAACAAAAAAGAAGCAAAAAGAAATTGGGTGGGGAATGGAGGCTGAAACTGTTTGCCAAAATAAGTGTTCTAGATTCCATGGTATCCATTGAACTCTGCAGACCAGGGTTACTCTGTTCCTTGCCCCCTTTTCACAGAGAAGCGAGATTCAACTGTGTATACATAGGACTCATGAAGGTAAAAACCATTGCTTTAGTATGTCTGATATGAAGGAGCATTTTTCTCTACCTTTAATACTCATCAGTTTCCTTGATAAAGAGGAATTTCTTTTATTTATTTATTTATTTATTATACTTTAAGTTCTAGCATGCACGATAAAGAGGAATTTCCACTGGTGATCATAGCCATGCTTTTATCTTTGCCTGGCTGAGATGAGCACCTGTTAACTAGCAAGCAATACTTTACGTTTGACCTTTGACTTAACCCTTTGATAAGGGCATCTTTCACTCATCTTCCCACTGATAACTGACCATATGCCTTTCCATGCTCAGGGCATCCTTTGTGACTCACCACACACAGCTACATTTCTAGGAGTTGGTTTGAACACCTAGACTTAGGCATAGAGGCATGACGGAGCTAAAGAGGGGTGGGGGAGACAAACAGCTTCCTAGCCCCTTCTCATTTCCTTTCATCCTGGGCTTCTTGTGAGGAAGAAACCAGGGCTTGATTTATTGTTGAATTACTTGACCTTGTTGACTGCGTCTCTAAATCTAGCCCTCTACTTTGGGCCTTCCTGGGCATTCTGCCTGCTCTAGTTAGCAATGTGGACAGGATCTCTGAAATAGCTCAGCAGCTTTGGATTCAAAGTGGTTGTTGCCTTCAAGCTGTCTACACTAGAAAAAGCTTCTCCGCTTTGTCTCTAGGAGCCAGACTGGGTCTGAAAAGTAGGTCCAAACTCAATATTCTAAATAACTTATCAGATTTCAAGGGGCTCTTATTCTCTAAAAGGTCGAGACAAGTCCTTCGAGTCAACCTGAGCTCTGGACAAAGAGGCATAAGTGACTCTAAGCTGTTGGCTCCCTGGAAACTTAAATTTAGAGTTTTGTTCTTGTTGTTTTTCTATAATTAGCATATCTTTGGTCAGTGGACTGAAATCAGTTTTTTCTTGCAAGGGGGTTAAGCATCAAATGGGCATTATAACTATATTGTCTGTTGATGCCCTTCAATACAATTCAACCAAAATGCATTGAACACCTGCTATCCGCCAGGCACTGTCATAGGGGTGGGGATATAGCAGTGGACCAAACATTAGTCCAGCCTCCTACAAGTGGAGGGGGCTGACAGTGGAAAGACAGCCATTACTCTGCATGATTAGCATTGACATAGAGAGAATGCAGATATTCTAGAGGCTCACTGGATGAGCAATTATTGAGCAGCTACTGTATATCCAGTGCTGTAAAGAGGACAGAAATTATCCAAGTAATCCTTAGTTATCACAAGCAAGAGGTTTTAGAAAAAAACGCCAGAGCTCATCCATCTCGCTGTCTTGCTCTTTGTCCTGTTATTATCAATTCACTCATTTACATTCTGCTAATTTGCCCCCTCCTTCCATTTCTAATATTCCACTCACATTCTCTGTTTAATTTTAGCACAGATGCCAAGAACAAAGAAAAGGGCCAGTACTCATGACTAAGTGTGTTTAGTTTGTATTAAAAATAAAGCCCTTCTAAGGAAAGTCTTTTAAAGAAGAGTGTTTTTCAAACTTCTGTGACTGGAACCTGCCATATGAAATGTATATTACATTGCAAATGAATACATATACAAGTGCACACACAGTTATACGCAGAATTTGATATTTCTCTTGCTATGTGAGTTGCAACCTGGTATTTTCTATTAGACAATGTTCTCTTTCATTAAAAAAATGACCATCATGACCCACTAAATTGTTTTCCTGACCTGATCACAGTCTGCAGTTTAAAACGTGGTCCCACAAATCTAGATGATATTCTCTGAGGACAGAGAACATATCAGAAATCTCTTATGATCTCCTGTCCCTTTACTCTTCTCTCTGCCTTAATTTTGCATGAAATCCTTATATCTTTTTGGAATTCCCTTAGAAATCATTTAATGGCTTCTCAAATCTAGTTTCTTGGCTCCTTGAAATAAATTTGAGATTTTCACATGTGCATTTTATTTATTAGATTTTAAAAAGTAATTTAATTTTTTATAGATATCAATATTAAAAGGTAGAGATACCATTTTTCCCCTATCCAAGTAGTACTAGTAGCATCTGCATGTAAGTAGTTATCTTGGTGTTCTGTGTTACCGTGTGACTCAGCAACATAGATGAGTCGTGGACTAGCATCTGGGCTGTGCGTAAGTGTGTTAAGTATCTCCCTGCATTTCCATCTTATAAGTGCAGTATTTATATGATCTCCTTTCACTGCGATTTAGTGTCCCCTTAGTAATGTTTATGGGTTTTGCATTTTAATACTCAATTTGTGTTTTCTTTATGGATCATCTTGTGTTTTCCATTTTGTGGATTTTTTTTTTTTTTTCCTTGGGGCAAACAGAAGTATTTTGGTCAGGCTGCATCAAGCAGTAAAAAGAATCCTGAAGCTAGAGATTTAACTCTAGTCTTGGTTCTGCTATAACTCCTTGCAGGAGTTGCCACTAGCTGGTTAA